AAAAAAAAAAGAAGAAGAAGAAGAAGATGAGTCATCCCCAGAGTCTTGGGGACTCTGGTTGTCTCTTCCTAAGCTATAGAATAGGTATCTTTTACCCCTATTAACCCAGCACCCATTCTCACATAATAACCTAATGACTTTCCTTTTTTTTTGCCAAGGCTAACCCCACTCCTTCCCCCATCACTTGGCCAATGAGCACATCGAAGCTCTCTGGCCGCTGGAATGGCTCAGAGATGAGCACATGACCCAAAGAGCCCAGTCAGTGGTAGAATTGGAACTTCCAATAGAGCCATGAGGGAACAGCGGCTTCCATTAGAATTACAAAGCTGGAAGTACAGAAGTTGAGAACTGCCAGGAGGCCTTTTTGCCTCTAGGAGGGGAGAGAATTGCCTGAAGTGATGCCCACCCAGAAAACAGCAGATCGATTCCTGACCACCTGGACCTAGCTAAGCTTGGATCCAATCCATAAGCCACTAACTTCCCTTTTTTGCTTAAGCCACATTCAGTTGGGTTTTCTGTTACCTGAAACTGAAAATGTCTTCGTGAACAAAGAAATCACCTCTGGGATTCTCCCCAGTGGGTCCTGGACAGCCTACCGGGTGTCTACACGAGAGAGGGGCGCGGATCTGGCTGTTACCGGTACCTCTGGAGAGAAAAAAAACGAAAGGACGCCAGTGGAACAGTTTACCTAGATGGTCTCTGGGCGCCATGCAGCCCCCACCACCTCTAAGGAAAACAACAAAACTAGCTGCAGCAAGAAGGATGAAGGCTCGACTGCAGGGAAAACCAGAGACGAAGGCGGAACCCTCAGGGGAGGAGAGAGCCTGGACCTCTGGGGCAAGGAGAACTGGGTCTCTAGGACTAGGCCCCCCGCACACTTCTACCACCCAACTTCTCACCACAGCCTGACCCTCTCTTCAAAACAGCCGCTGACTTCCTAACAAGCAGCCATCTTTTCAGCCGGAAGTTGGGTGGCGTGGCCCTAACGCCTCCTGGGAACTGTAGTTCAGTAAGGGGCCAATCCAGCTAAGAGATAAAAAGGTTGAAGCTGGCGAGGACTTGGAAGCTGATAGGCTGCTACTGTACTAGGGGAGAGGTCTGAAGTGTGCTAGTCTAGCGTGGAGCTGGGTGGGCCGGGATCTGGAATGTGATAGGCTGCTGAGTGTAAAATATGATTGGCTACCAATATTGTACCATTTTATGTTTCCAGCGGATCCCACTACCCAAGCCATTGCTTCTACCATGATAGGCTGAAACGAGGCAGAGGGGAGGGGCTTGCAATATAATAGGCTCAGAGAGACAGAGATAGCGTAGCTTGCGATTTGATAAGGTGAGTAAGACTGAGTTGGGTGAGGCTTAAGGAAAGCGATGGGGCTGATTAGTGATTGGTGAAGCTAACCTGAGCCTCAGTGTGGAGCGGGTTTCCCGGGAGGTGGGAGTGGCCAGGGCCTCAAAGGCCACTCCCAATTGCTCGGGCCTGACTCTTATTTTACATATATTTGCATAAATCACAACACTGCTCTTGGCCAGGCCTTTGGCTCTTTCTTGTCTGTACTTCTAGCACTCTAGGAGCCTCAGGCAGGAAGATTCCTTCACTTAAGGAGTTTGAGACCCGTCTCTACTAAACAGAAAAATTAGTTGAGTGTTGTGAGGGCACCTGTAGTCTTTACTGAAGCCAGTCTCTTGAACCCAGGAGTTTGAGGTTGTTGTGAGCTAGGCTGATGCCAGGACTCTAGCTTGGGGCAAAACAAACAAACAAAGCCAGATCTAGTTCAAACCTGCCTTATTTCTTCATGCACACGTCTCCCCTTAGCCCCAAAATTATTTAAAAGCTATTCAGAACTTCAATTTGTAAAGGTTCAGTGAATCCAACCTTTACACCAGCCAGGAGAGCTGTGTAAGCTGAGCCTTGAAGGATGAAGAATTTGCCCAAAAAACAAGAGGGAGAAAAACCGTCCAGGCAGAAAGAACTTCCTGGGCAAAGGCCAGGAGGCTTGGGAGAACCGTAGAGTGATAATAGGTTAATATGGCTGGAGCAGAAGCTAAGAGTAAAGTGTTCAATGAAGTCCCCAGATCAAAGAACTGTAACTTCTCTCACCACCCTCTTTCTTCCTTGGAGGACACAGAGGCAGGAAGAATCAGATAATAATTACAAATGTTGGCTCGGCGCCTATAGCTCAA